GACTTGCTAAGTCATCTGCCACAGTGCAGTGAGAGAACACTCCAAAAAGGAAAGCACGCCATTCATTCCCTACTTAAAACACAGTAGTTTCTTACTACAGAACAATTAATTCCAGGTCCTTACTAAGGCTTTGCTGGTTCTTCCTGAAAAGGCTCTGCTTTCCTCTCTAGCCTTGGACTTCCTCTTTTCGGTCAGTTTCTTGAACCTTGAGCTGTCCTTTGCCCCGAGGCCACAGCACCTACAAACCCTTTCCCAAGTACTAAGTCCCTCTGTCAGTTGACTAGCCTCTCCACATGTTTGGTATGCAGTGAAAATGGAAGAGGAAATATATTTTAGGGAAATTTACACTACAGTAAAGGGATTGGGGGGAAAAAAAGGATAAAACTTGTATGTGTGTGTTTCTGCACCAGCCTCTAGTTTCTGTATATACCTCTCTTCATCTGAGGCCCTATTGTCCTCAGACACTTCGAGCTGTCTCTTACTTCTCCTGTTCTTAGAAAAGTGGTCTCTTAAAAAATAATGTAAGATTAGTTATATACATCTCCGGTGAACTGAGTTAAACGATAGGGAACATTCATTATATAGCTGGCTGTGTTCTAGGCACAGGGAAATTACCAGCGAGCAAGATAGGAAAGGTGCCTGCTCTCAAGGAGCACACATTCCAGTGGAGGAGCAATTGATTGATTAAATAAGATCGCTTCAGATAGAAATCTTTTGGAGGAAAAAGACAACATAGCAGTATGTGATAAAGTGATGTGTGGGAAGGAGGTATAGTTTAGATCATCATGTGGTTCAAATGGTCTTCTGGTAGATAAGGCGTCCAGGAGGAAGCGGCCCTGGCCTTAGAATCACGGAGGAAAGCATTAGTTGCAAAGGCCATGTGGTGAAAATTAGCTTGGTTTTGTTCAAGCAGTAGGAATAAAGGTGGGAAGGCTGGAACAGAATTCATGGGGAGAAGAGGGGTGGGAGACAAGATCAGAGTCTCAGCCAGCAGTGGGACATGCAGGGCCTTGCAGACATGGTAAGGAATTCTTCTTTTGTTCCTAATGCAACTGGAAGCCAGTAGGTTTTAAGAGTATAAATGGTGTAACCTCATTTAGAGTTATGCCAGTGAGTTCTGGCTTTAAGGTGGAGAAACAGACTGAAGAAAAGCAGAAGTGGGCACAAGGATATGAGTTAGGGGCTTCAGTTCATCCCCTGTTAGTGATGCCTGTTCAGTTCAATGAAACACTGAAACAGGAGAGCCCTGGAAGTGATGTGCTACCATTTTGTCATATTTTTAAGGTTTATCTTCATGACGACATAAATGGGATTTCTGCACTTAAAGGAACTTTGGAATTTGTGTAGGAGGTTTTATTGGAACAGGAGGAAGTTGAATCAATAGAAATGGTAGGCATTTGGTTGAATGGAGAGTAAAATACTGGGAAGTAAAAGATCTACACATGAAATAAGTTTTAATCATAAAGAGCAGTTAATGGGGACTAGGACCTAAAGCGGCTTCCCTGAAATCAATCCTATAGGATTCTAGAAAGTTCTGGATTTGGAATTAGAATTGTGTTGGAACCCTGGGCTCATCACTTTGACTAACAGGTTTCCCTTCTCTGAGCCTCTATGTTTGCTCATCTGTTGAAAATGTCCTCCTGGCAATTGGTGAGATTGTTTTATGCCATAAAAGTAATCAATTCATGGCTCTATAATAACGATATCATTTCTGGCATTCTGCTCTCACCAGAGTAACTTTATAGGTGGTATTTTCATCGACTAATAGAGCTGAAATATATCTTCAATATTATGTAAACATTTACTCATATATTCATATCTGTTCATTTTAGAGATGATAAAATGGAAACCTGCAATGGGAAATCAACCAGCCAAAGTTTTCTTAAACAGTTAGTGTGAGGTGCATGCTGCAACCCAGGTCACATGACTTCCTGATTCCTGACAGGTCCAAGGAAGTTCTGCCCAGAGGATAATTAAAACACATGTTCCATGGACTGCCTGGGTGGCTCAGTGGGTTAAGCCTCTGCCTTCAGCTCAGGTCCTGATCTCGGGGTTCTGGGATCAGGTCCCACATCGGGCTCTCTGCTAGGCAGGGAGCCTGCTTCCTCCTCTCTCTCTCTCTCTACTTGTGATCTCTCTCTGTGTCAAATAAATAAAACCTTAAAAAAAAAAAATGTTCCATTCATTTTTTGTTTCTCCTACATAGAAACAGTCATGAATCAGTAAAGTTAGGAAACTCCTCTACCACCCCTTACAAAATAGTAGAACTTTACCTTACAAATATTTCTCAGACAATACTGAGTAAGATGATTGGGCCAATGGCTATACACAATGTGGACCTTTCAACAGAGGTAACTGTTCAAGGACTTCTAAAGACCTTGTTTATTTTGTTCAGGTACATGAAGTAGAATAGATTAAGAGAGGAAAAATTCATTCTATTTGTAACATCCATTTAAATATAATGGGATGAAAGCATATCTTTTATAAAGTAATCTTTGTGAGAAATGGAAATTAGACAACTTCAAAAGGAGGGTGAGCAGTTAGCCAAACTCAATAAAGATCAGTTATTTAAAAATCTATATATTGCCTTCTGTAGAGTTTTGACTTTGGTCCAGACACATTATCAGCGCCCTCTTTGATCCACTATAATCTCCAAATGAGGCCTGAGGGATGCATAAATCTTTGTTCTGCTGCTAAAGATCCCTGGGAAATCTTTTTGATGACAGGAATGAGTAAAGACAGATGGAACTGCACATTCTTAAGTGAATAAATATAGCTTTTAAAATACTTTCTCTTTCAAATAATCAAAAGCACTAGTCAACATCACAGACGGGATTTCAAAGAAGTAGAAACGGGTGGAGCCAAAAATTATGCCAAGCTTAAAACAAAAATAAGCAAGACTGATTGAGGAACAAGAATGGAGATTATTTAGAGTGGAAACCATATTCCAGTCTGTCACTGCTGGGACAGGATTCCCACTCCTTCTTTGAAGTTTTCCTATCTTTTCACTTGCAGCTCATCAAAGAAACCTACAGGTTTCAAAAGAGAGCATTGGGAACCTCTAGCTGGAATGTTAGATAGATAGATAGATAGATATAGATAGATAGATAGATAGATAGATAGATAGATGATAGATACGGAAAAGAAGATGGAAAATTTACAAAGATGCCTTGGAAGTGGGAGATTTACTAAGCAAAGGGGAATAAAACTCAAATTAAATTCTTATTTAAAAATATATTGTTGGGGCGCCTGGGTGGCTCAGTGGGTTAAAGCCTCTGCCTTCGTCTCAGGTCATGATCTCAGGGTCCTGGGATTGACCCCCGCATCAGGCTCTCTGCTTGGCAGGGAGCCTGCTTCCCTTCCTCTCTCTCTGCCTGTCTCTCTGCCTACTTGTGATCTCTGTCTGTCAAATAAATAAATAAAATCTTTGAAAAATATATATCGTTCAACTGGAATTGGTCAGGTTGTATTAAATAGAAAAATTGCTTTTATTGAACATGTGGGAGGGAAATGGGTATGTGAGGTGACTATAAAATTTCTTCCTCACAATTCTTAATGATCTTTCTTACACCACTGGTAATTTCTATAAATCTCTCAAACTGTTTGTGTTTACAACACACTTTCAAGTATTACAGTTACTTTGGTGCATGTTAAAAATACATATGGGAACAAGTACCTCAGACCTAAGTGTTCTCCTTCAGGAGAACTGTCACACCTGTCTCGTTGAGTATACAGTGCCTCACAGTTCTGTGAAAATCACCACAGTCATCAGACTGCTGGGTTCGTTGCCCTTCCATACTACCTTTCCAGAAAAAACTGTTCCTGGCTCTGACTCTACACTTTTCTATCCTCATGAGATAAAAGTCTTGCTTGATGTAGCAAATGCAAATTCTCCTTATAGCATAAATTTACCTTTGTGCCTGCATTTTGCACAGTACCTGCCGCCCATTTTCAATGCTATGCTCTGTCTTGTAGCCTGCTATCAGGCTCAGTATCATGTCGGACAATCAGTGCTACGGAAGTAAATGACAGTTGCGGCAAAAAGAAAATACCCAAATTGTTGAAAATTTGGTGATGTCTGTCAGGGATTTCTTTCTGAGGGGGCACCAATGGCTGAGAATTACTGCTCTGAATTAAGAAACTCAGTGTCCACCTTGAATGTACCTTAAAGAGAAGTGATTGCTTCTCTTATAAATATCCTACTCATATGACTTTGCTCTACATTGTGTGAAATTCTGAAACCAAAATGACTTTTGGCCACCCCACCTGAAATCTCATGAGTTTTGTTTGGGGGATTTGTCCACTGTGTTCTATGGGGAAAAGATCAACCAATGCCTGAGGCACAATTTTGGAGGGAATTATGTAATGAATGAACAGGTGTTCATATAATATTTAGAAAACCTCTCAACCCTATTATATTAATTGTAAAAAAAATAGTATCTTCTATTTATTCTGCAATATATGGTTGTATCCCCAGAGTATGGATATTTGTGATGTTTGTGTGTGTTTGCATGTCTTGGTGTAGGTGTGTGTGTTAACCATGAAAAGTTTAGTGTGTATTTATTAAATGTGTTATTATTTTAATTTTTGAAACGTTGTTAACTCATGCCATGTTTTGCTTTTGGCTGAAAATGAGTCATCAAACTTGATCCTGCATATAGGAGTTATAGTAGACTGTTACAGAAAGAAATGGTGGGAATGGGGATATGGATGGGATAGATCAAAGTAATATTTATGTACATTTTCCTATGCATGTGGTGAGTCTTCTATAGCTTCATGATACTCTTTGCATCTTTCTAATCCTGATCATCTTGCATGGTATCCCATGGCAGTCCAAAAAGTTGAATATAAAATCCTCACATGCCACTCCACCCATATCCATTCGCAATTGCAAGAGCCTCCCTCTGCCTTTGTTGTGTTCTTTCATTTAGAATAAGAATCTGTTGTTTGAAGTGCGCATCCCTCTGGTAACTTTAGTCTCCCTTTTTTCTGTTTTCAAGGATGGGAGGAACAGTTTTATTGGACACCAACTAGGCGGGGTAGTGGAAGTGCCAAACAGCAAGGACCAGCGGGTCAAGTCAGCCAGAGCCATTCAAATCACCTACTACCTCCAGACCTATGGCTCTGCCACTCAAGACCTCATAGGGGAGAAGTGGGAGAATGAGTTCTGTAAGCTCATGAGGAAGCTCCAGGAGGAGCACCAGGACCTCCAGCTCTACTCTTTAGCATCCTTTAGCCTCTGGAGAGACTTTCATAAGACCAGCATCCTGGCCAGGAGCAAGGTCCTGGTGAGCCTTGTGTTGATCCTGACCACAGCCACCCTCTCCAGCTCCATGAAGGACTGTTTGCGCAGCAAGCCCTTCCTGGGCCTCCTGGGGGTGCTCACAGTGTGCATCTCCATCATCACGGCAGCAGGGATCTTCTTCATCACTGATGGAAAGTACAACTCCACCCTGCTGGGAATCCCATTCTTCGCCATGGGTAACTATCCATCCTTGTGGTAATTGGATTCTTACCGATGTGGGGCAAGGTAGTACATTTCTTGAATTCTCAGGCAGAAATCTGTTTTAACTTTTCACTGATGTGTTTGTGTGATTATGTAAGATTTTACCTGGGGTAACGTCTGTTTCACCTGATTGGGCCTTTTGGAAAATCTAGGCTGACCAAGTCATCTTCCCGTTTATGTTGCAGAATTTAATGCTTTTGGTTATTTTTAAATTACACAATATTGGAATTTTCTTCTCTGCTTCTTCAAATATTATAAGTCAGGGATTATGGAGATCCAAAACTTACTTTGAACAAATTTTGTGGTTCATATTCATGACCATCTTCAAGTTGATGATAGTGAAGAGTGAATAGCATAGGATGAAAATTCAAAGAACCACTGATTTATTCTAATTTCAAAAAACTTTTTCAGTAACCTTGTTTTATTAATTCACTTCAAAGTTTTTATAGAAAATATATTACATTTCCCCACCTCCATATAAACTAAACCTTCCTACTACACTTAAAGATACATCCCCTAATTTCTTTCATCTCTGGTGAGAATAATTAATGAGCATCCTCAGCTAAGATTATCCCTTCTTATACATTTTCTCCAGATGTACATAAATGTCTAGAAAATGTTCTGTGAGTGTGTGTGTGTATGTGTGTGTGTGTGTACTTGCAAAAGAGAAGATCAAGTCTGGGAAGAAATGTGAATGATGGCTCAGCAACAAGACTGATGGAATGTATCAGAAAAGCCATGATAAGGTGATATCTATGGTTCTACAAAAGAGTTCTGTCAGATATGATAGAATTCCCTAATTCCCTACATGCAGTGAATTGGAGGATGAGCTGTAATAATAGCCTGTAGGTGGTGAACTGACATGAGCAGGAGAGTTTTCAGCTGTAAAGTAATTGCTTTTCACTCCCCATGCTAAAATCAGCTATAAATTACAGTTTTATTATTAAATTAAAAAGACACACGTATGTGGTCAGAAAGTCTTCTAAGTGATCCAGGACCTTTTTGTTTTCACCTTGACAAACATCTCTGAGAACACTGCAAAATGGATTTATAGTGTAGGTTTGCTGGTGTCCAACTTCTTTACCTAGAAACCCAAGTTCTTTGTGACCCTAGTAAGTTAGTTCATCTTGGTAAACCTCAGGTTCCTCTTGCATAAAATAAGGATCATAATTTTATCACTTTCAAAGAATTGTTTTTTGAATGTAGTAGAATATATCTAAGGCTTATATAGCATATAGTAAATGTTCTATAAATGTCATCAAGATTTAAGTGCACTGGATTTAGTGATAAATAGGAAACAGCCCTTGGCTTCAAGAAATTGAAAGTCTGCCTGGATTTTGCATATCACCTTTAAATGCATCTTCATCTTCTTAACAACAAGGATTTTTCTTTTTCCCAAATAACTATATTAAAATTTGTTTGCACAAGTGATGAGGATGTGTCTAGATTTGAACTATTTATACTTGTCATGTTATTTGAGCTCAGCCTCTTGACTTGAAATATCAACATAAAATTTCTAAGAATCATTCACTGTGGTTCACAAATGAAACATGGCTTGTTCAAAATGACAAATTAAATACCTTAGACCCTACTAGGGCTTTTTCTAAAACTGTGGCAATCTAATTGGGTAATGGAAATATTTATCAAGAAAGTTCTATAATATACAGCATTGCATATTCCATACAAATAGGGAGAAAAATTGTCTCTAGTGAGGCTGAATTATAATGTAGATGCTACAGAATCAAAGTGGTGTTTTTATCCCTTAAATAAATAATAACACTGAAAGCAGTAACACTGAAGAAAAGGCCCAGATTCTGAAACACACGTTTCTCACTTTCCTTCTGTCTCAGTGATCTTTAAGATCATAAATCAACCTTAAACAGTGTAGGTATAGACTCTAGGAAGCCTGGTGAATGGTTACTCTTCAGTATTCTTAGAATTCAGTCCTTAAAATATTCTGAAATGAACTTTTCTGGTATGTTCTGAAAACGTAACAACAACAAATTTATCAATATATACTTATCTAAGATATCTGGCCCATCAAGGGGTAGTTTGTTGTGCTTTCTTTTGTTTGTAAAATGATCTGTAATAACAAAGATATGAAGATCAAGAACTAGTGAAATGAAAGGATTATCCCACAGGGCTAGGAAATCTGAGTTTTCATCCCAGCTTTCCCCCTAACTCTGTATGTTTTATTGGGCTGCAATATATAGTCCCGTTGTCCCATTACTTTATATATTAAATCAAGAATTTGGACTTTTCAATCTTAAATTTTGAAGATCCTACAGTATTAGTTATCTTATTTTCAATTGAAGTTAGAATTTGATCATTTCTTTATAAAGTCATTTAAAGTATGTGTTATCCTTCAACCTCTAATCTCCATTCTCCTTTGTTGGCTTTTAATGTGTGTGTATGTGCATGTGTGTGTGAAAGAGAGACAGAGACAGGGAGAGGGGCTTTAGAATAGAAAAATCACAAGTCTATGAAGAGCACAAGTCTATGCTCATGCATAGAGCATGCAGAGCACGAGTCTATGAAGGTGATGAGGTGGAACGTGATTTTGAGCATCAATAAGCTGAGTTTGGCAGATATATATCTTCTAGTAGTACATATGGCATTGGTTGAAAGTAGTCCCTTGATTGATTGAAGTTTACATGGTGCTAACACTGCATAATCTAAAGTTAGTTGGGTGTAAGGGAAAGAAGTCCAACTCTTCTGGTAAACTTATTTCTATTCCTATCTTCCCATAAGGATTTATCTGAGGTTGTGCTCCAAGACTGAAAATCAGTTATCTTCATTATAACCTATCCCTGAAGCTAGGTATGTCATCCTACTTGACACCATCCACCTACTTGAGATCTCTGTCTGTCAAATAAATAAATAATATCTTTTATTTTAAGATTTTATTTATTTGACAGACAGAGATCACAAGTAGGCAGAGAAGCAGGCAGAGAGAGGGGGAGGGGGAAGCAGGCTCCCCTCTGAGCAATCCCAGGACCCTAGGATCATGACCTGAGCCGAAGACAGAGGCTTAACCCACTGAGCCACCCAGGTGCCCCAAATAAATAACATCTTTAAAAAAAAAAAAAAGATAAGGGACACATCCACGTGACTTATTTTGTTCAGGTGAACCCAGCATTTCCAGATAGGAGACTTTTGTTCATCATCTAAAATTGAGCTCCATATTCATTTATTTATTAATTCAATCAAATATTTATTGAGCACATATATGTTCCATGTATTTTGGATTTGAGAGTAAAAGGTATTGAACTGAACTGATCAAGTGGTTGCCTGCATGGATCTTACACTGTAGGCCTGAAAGGGGGAGGCATCTGACAATAAACAAATAAGATAAGCGATATAAAGTAAAAAAAAAATCAGGATAAGGGATAAAGAACGTAAGCGGTAAGAGAAAAGACTTTCTGGGGAAAAAAAAAAGGAAATTGAAGTAGAGAGCTAAAGGAAGTGAAGAAGTAGCCATGTGGCAACCTGAGAAAAGAGTATCTCTGACAAAGAGAATGTGCGAAGGCTTTTTGAAGGACCTTTCGGTGAAGTTGAGGAAGCACGATAAAAGGAGTGTGGCTGGAGCACAGTGGACAACTGTCTGAGTATTATGAGATGGAGTTAGAGAGATGGTAGAGACAGGTTATGGAGGCCACTAAGAACTTAATACTTTATTTAAGATTTTATTTATTTGAGAGAGAGAGAGAAAGTGAAAGTACAGAGGGAGAGAATCTCAAGCAGGCTCCACTCTGAACATGGAGCCCAAAGGGGCTTGATCCCATGACCCTGAGATCATGACATGAGCCAAAATCGAGTCCAGTGCTCAGCTGATTGAACCACACAGGCACCTCAAAGAACTTAATACTTTAGATGGAAAGCTATCTGAGGCATTTGCAACAGGAGAGTGTGATCTGCCTTATGTTTTATGTGTTTTTTTTTTAAATTTTATTTATTTATTTGATGGAGAGAGAGAGAGAGAGGGAACACAAGCAGGGGGAGTAGGAAAGGGAGAAGCAGGTTCCCTACTGAGCAGGGTACCCTACACGGGGCTTGATCCCAGGACTCTGGGATCATGACTTGAGCCAAAGACGGATGCTTAACTGACTGAGGCTCTCAGGTGCCCCTGCCTTACTTTTTAAAACACATCTTTGGCTACAACATGGAAATGAGTCTACAATGGAGCAAGAATGGTTATAGAAAGACTATGTAAGAGGTTATTGCAAAAATCCGTGGGCTATAATGGTGGTGACGTGAAATACCATGGGAGCAGAGACAATGGTAAAAAGGGATTGGACTCAGGATATGTATTTGAAAATAAAATTGACAGGATGTGCTGCAGGACTGGATATAGTATATAAGATAAAGAAGAGTCAAGGATGATCCCAAACTTTGAGGACTAAATATCTAATAGAAAGCAGTTGCCCTTCATTATCTTAAGAAGATCATGATAGGAATAAGTTAGAAAGGAAAATATCAATTTACTTTCTATCTGGTAGGTTAGATATACCTATTAAGTATCCAAGTGGGAAAATGGGGGGTTAGCTATATAAGACAATATGTAGATCAGGCAAAGAAGTAAAATCTGTAAGGTGGAGCTGGAAATATAAATTTTGGATTAATCATGGCATAGCTGATAATGAAAGCCATGGGATCTGATAAGATCAACTAGAAAGATAAATATAGATAGAAAATAGAAGTCAGAGATCTGATCCCTAGAGCATTCCAAAGCTCAGAGATTGGAAAGATGAAGATGATTCAGAAAATGACATTAAGAAGGATGAAGCAGTGAGATAGTAGGGGAATTAAAAGAGAATAGTGTCTCAGCAGCCAAGTAAAGAAAGCATTTCCTAAACAGCTAGAGATCAGCTGTTCCAAAAGCTGATAAGCAGTTGTGTCCAATGAGAACTGAGAATTGGTTGTTTGATTTAGTAATTTGAAGGTCATTGGTGACTTTGACAAGAGTTGCTTTGGA